AGCCCTGACCGGATAGATCGGATGAACACCCTTGTTCCATACATATATATGCTTAGTCCGACAACGGGCCGCTGCTGGCTGCTTGAAAATTCACAAGCGTATCGGGTTTTCCGACGAGCCTTTCTTTTTCATATATACACATGTATAATTCGGTCGGAGACGTTCTTTTGGAAACGATAGCAAATTTTATCGAGACATTTCGACACTGGCTTATTAGGTGGTTGTCAGAAAAACGAGAAATCTAAGAATCAGTTAACTCAAAATGTTGGCTTACACAAGATAATAGATTGGGTCAAAGTGTTAGGAGAAAATCTTCATCCACATGTAATTATGCGGTAAGTGGGGAAAAGACGCTGTCAACTGCGTGTAATTATGCCGTCAGTAATGAATTAGTCGTCACCCGCAGTGAATCATACGGTCGGTCGTGGCTGTTTTTTGTGTTTCGTTTATTCCGGATAGGCTGCCGTCTTTTCCATGCTTCTCTAAGGTTGGTGTATCTAGCGTTGAAGGCAAACCCAATTATGCTCGAAAAAGTCGTTGACAGTAAACACCCATTTCTTGACGTCCTCGTACAGCGAAATACTGACGGAACGTGCTACACATCGGTTTACCGCAAAAGAGCATACCCAGATGTTATCCTTATCACGAAAGCAACCACCCTGTTGCTCACAAACGGAGTACTTTTATCCCCTAATCAATCGAGCAAGAACGCACTGTTCTAGCACCGAACGTAACCAGACCAAAATCAATTGCCCGTTCATACTGTTTTCGCGAAATTGTTACCCTAGAGAGTTAGTGCGTCGATATACGACACGACAGTGGTAAGAACAAAAATGAAAAGGAACTAGATTGTCTTGATTAGGCGTCCAATCGAAGGACTTTGCGAACACATTCGTAAATTAAGAACTTGTTTGAGCTCGCTGAAAGACACCGGATAAAGCATCAAATCCAAGTGGCACATAAATGAACGACTACACTGCGACGTCAGTTTGTTAACCCCAAGGATAGGGTTGGCTATTTTGACGGAAAAAATGTCGTTTACGATAGTCCTTGTGGCG